GCCTTAAATGACCCCTTTATAAATTAATAAACAGCCTAAATAATTAAAAATTCTACCCCAAGTCACTATTGCACGCGGGCGAAGTCGCGGGCACAGCTAGTTTTAAATAAAGTCAAAGTCAAAAATCATTTATTCATGCTGGTAACTATGTACACGTCACAAAATAAATTAAAGAATCTAACTTTACATTTATTACAAGTTGTCAGTATTCAGTATAAATAAAAAATATTAATGAAAAAAAAAAGGTGTTAAAGATATATTTAAATAAATTTGAATATAATGAACATATACGATTTCATTTAATAGTCATAGATCTATATTGTCGCCGGTTCAAACTATTATCAAACTGTGTAATCAGTAATACAAAATTTACATCTGGGAATAACACTGACATGCAATTTCATCCTGAGTGATTCTTTGTTTCAATCCTACGGGGAAATCAACTTTAATACAAAATGGCTTTTTATCATTTAACTGGATGCATAACTCTTAGACCACTGTTGTGAGGAATAGCTTATTATTTTAATGGACTCGTGGCATGTTGGTTTTTAATATCTCTATTATTTGTTGCTCTGGGTACACTCTAGCGATATTACAGTGTACTCACTCGTAATCTTTGCTTGTAAAATTACTCTAGATAGGTATTTACCTATTAAAATATAATAAGATTAGAATACATTACATGCGATTACTGGTCTTTTTTTGTCTGATTTACCTGCAGCAGAGCACAAAGGTTTGATCAAGCTCCTATTTTCCTCTTATAATATAATCCTGTATACGGACACAGACGTGTGTCTTCTTGCCGCACTTACGCCTGCAGTGAAAACATTCTAAGAGTACATAAGTTATATAATATTGTAGTAAACGTTGTCTTATATACTTTTTTGAACCGTTCATGCTACGATGAATATGTTCCTACTACAGTCCGCTAGTGAGTACCCGGCTTTATAGCTCGCGGAAAATCGTTTTGTTCGACCACTTAACAATTGTTTATTAAGCAGAGTATAAACGTTCAGCTTAATATTTTTGTTTCAATTTACACGTTTACAATACAAAGATATTTGGAGCTTTTTATAGGAAGTGTAAATTTGCAATTTTGTATGTGCTGACCAGCGGATCCACTTTGGCGACACATAGTCTTGGCCAAGAATACCAGTTAAATTTAATTTTGATAACAAGATAGATATATAAGTAGATATATATTATTTCTCTAAGCTCGGTGCATGTCCTGAAACCATCTCGGAGGGGCAAGGGGGGGTCATGAACGCCATGACACTCCCCCTTGAAATGAACTTATACCAACAGGTATAAGTTATTTTGTTGGGAGTGGTATTTTTGGGTAAGGTGTTGTTGTTTAAAGAAAAGGCTACACGTAGCGAAGTAAATGTCATCGCACCACAATGTATGTGAGTGTCGCCGCCTCATTACCAATGCAAATGTCGAGTGTGCTGCCTAGATTTTCCCGACCATTTCAGATATTTACATGACGTCATCCGTATCTCTATATGGCGCATGTTTTATCAAACGCCACAGTAATCACTGCCTTGTTCTATGCTAATGAGGCACATCCCAGTTAAGCCATGGCTTTTAAGTTGCCTTAATCAGTACTCGGAGGTAATGCCATTAACAATATATTGGTGAAAGACCTCTCAAACGTAACAGAAACGCTGTAACCAAAAATAACGTTAAGTTAACAGCGATATGCTTGAATATGAACAAAATATAATGTTTTTTTGTCAATAATCAAACTTGGAAATATAGTGACTTATTAAAATAGACTAAAGGTAAAATATTTATTGATAGATTATAAACCGTTCATCTGACTGGCGATACAGATTACATATACAAAAATATCAGATTATAAATAAACAGTATTACAATGATAATCGTAAAGATCGAATAATACTAGAAAATATGCCTAACTTCTTAGTATAAATGACTTACATACTCTTAGTTTTTTGTGTCACGTATTTAAATTTATTTTTCTCATTCGTACTTGATAAAGCTTTTTTTATTAAATTTCGCGTGCTATGTGCTATGAGTGATGAGTTCTGCTTGTTTAAATTGAAAAAAAAAAGATTATGAATTAAAAAAAATTACGACTAGGGCAGGACTTGAACCGTGGGTGACCACAGCGTTCCGTGCTGTTGCTCTAACTAATTGAGCTACTGAGTCCTACACGTCAACGTCGGATTTTTTCAACATATTGATTCACGAACATCTCGCACAATGCATGTTTTTTTTTTAATTTATAATAAATTTTTAATTTATATAGTGCCATCATGTGCAATAACATGTAAAATTAAATACTGTCTATAGTTTACGCGAGTATTACACATTTAAATAAAACACTTTAACGGTTTAAAACGCGATATATTAGTTAAACTTATTTGAAAATGATTTTTAACTTCGGCCCGACGTTTCGGATGCTTTGCAGCAGCCGTGGCCACGGCCAAACACTTTAACGGTTTAAACGTCGTTTTAAACCGTTAAAGTGTTTTATTTAAACATGTAAAATATTAAATATATATAATCCAAAATACAATTTTAACTTAACTAATTAATATACGTTTTCTAAATACAATATTGACAATAGCTGCAATGTCAAATTGTCTTGTTTTTCCTTTACGCTTTAACTTGCAAACTGTACCTGTTCTACCGATGTATATCTAACCCAAAAAACAACGAATACTGTCTATTATGTAGATTGAAACAAAGGAACGTCGAGTGAATTTTTGTTAAGCTAATCAATATGTCAATCATACTGTGTTTGTTTCGGCTTCCATTGTGGGGTAAAACCCAGCATAACATTGCATAGGTTAAAAGAGAACGAAGCGTAAGCTTGAGAAACCCAAATCTATTATTTTGAGAGAATTGTTCTTTATTTAAATGTGTAGTTAAAAATTTAAATTTCTTATAAAAGATTATAAGTACATTTCAATTAGTTATTATCCTAATAATACACGGGCTACAGTTTGGCTGGTCGGGCTTGAAATAAGTACCAACAATCAAAGTACTAAATCAAAAAGAAAATCTTATTTCTAAATTTTTTAAAGCTGGAAAGTATAAAATGCATACAAAATATACGATAAGAAAAACAAGTTATTTTTATCCCAATATTTCTCAAAGAGAAGATTCGTTCAACTGTCAACCATAACATGAAACCGTGTCACAAGAAAAAATGTCTAATATTCTAATATCAAACACCGTGTCACAACTCGCATAGTTCGTGTAGACGTCACTTGAAAAACGAAAGAAATTTCCCTAATACAATTTTTCCCCTTCATATTTCACCTATTCGCTGGCGGAATTTTTAATAATACATGCGTGTGAACGCGTAATCGAAACAGGAATTTCGATGAACATATTCCAAAATCAATATGAACCCTTAGGTTCATATTGATTTTGGAATATACTTATATAATCAGGGATTTTCCTATATAAAAATATTATACAGATTGATATTGGTTACGTCGTTCTTAGTCTAAAAAACCTCGTAATCTAAATTTGGTACGAAGGTAGAAGGTACCTCCAACTAGGAAGAAAGTTAACTCTCCAACAAAATAGTAATTGTTTCTGATAATAAAATATATTTAAAAGAACGTGAAATCGTAATCGCGTATTTTACTCGTAATACTTTCGCATTAATTCCATATTTCCTAGTCATTTAACTTTTTATACTAATTGTAGATGATAATTTCGTTCGTTTGTTGCAGGGCGGCGCGGCTGAAGAGCGCAAGGTGTTAATGCACCGTGGAGTCGAATAAAGAACGAAGTAAGTTTAAAAGTATTTATAAGAATAAATGTCACTTAATAAATTGTGTAAGGCTTTCACGGCCATCGTTCAGCAAATCATTGTTTTTCGGGCTGTTCGCCTGACGTGAGCAAGCAGAGGTTCTCGACGTTTCGCCACCACGAGAGGACGGTATCATCAAGCGGTGTTAGCTCCTCAATTACTCCAAGAATTCTTCACGCAATCGAGCAACGATATGCTGAAGTATCGCTTAATATTTGTCATACTATTTTTTCTTTATCTGCTACAAAGTCTTAGCTAACATAATGTGGTGTAGCATTATTATAACATAATATTATCATATTGATTCGAGTTATTGAGATTAAGCGAAAAAAGGTTTTAAAGAAACGAAAGGCAATTTTATTTGTTTATGGTGCCACATTTTTTTTCGGTCTAGTGAGCGGTGGCCTTTATTTATCCTGAATGGAGCCGCGAAGAGGAAAACGCATTGACGCGAATAAGACTCAGACATTGTGGCTACCTGCTTTCTCGGAATTCGCGATCATTTACCATCGTTGTTATTAAGTTTCGTAAAAGGTAGAGGTAAAAAGTGTAAGGATTACTCATATTATGTAGGCGTTCCTTTCGTCACTAAAATTCTATTTTGTATTTATAGTCATGGTTTGCCATAGTATTTTGGGGAAAAAGAGGCCACTATGGGGCTAATAATACATTGCTTTCATCATGATTTAGGTAGGTTTACCGCAATAACTTCGATCTTCTATTCTGCATTCGGCTCTTATATTATAACATATGTGCCGATCTTATCATTTTTTTTAAATATATTCCATTCCACCAGTAGATGGAATTTGCCCCACGTGGGGCTTATCGTTTCCCGAGTTTCTATCTCCAATACTACGTTATTGGTTATCCCCATACCGGCTGGCGCCGCATGTTACGTCTTATGGGCCACAGCCACACCAGCGCAGTACTGTCACCCGTCACTAAGCGGTTTGTAGAAATGTGACGTCATATGACGTACGTTGCTTAGCTCACATAAAGGCGACGTAATAAATAAAGAGGTAAACACGCATACCAGTTGAGTTTTAATCAGTTTCGCTCCTCACGTACTTGTGTGTGATGGACTGGTGTGCGTGATTTTTTAACTTTGCAATACTGCTATAATGCGTTTTTAAAAGGAGGACAGTTTATTTGTGTCTATATATCGTGATCTGATATTATATTAATGTTGATTAAAGGTTTGAATATGGTAAGTTTAAGACGAATTTTTAGAGATGTCCAATAGTAAATTATCGTTTAAAGTTATATATTCTCAAATATTATCTACATGGGCCATTGCCAAAGTGGACTTTTTTGTTATTTTCGGGAATTCGTGACAGAAGATTTATTTGTTTAAAAATAGGATTTTGTTTGTAGCGATCGAAATTGTTAACACTGAAATTATATGCTCTTGTTTTTAAATTTGTACTATGTTTTTATTAGGAAATCAAATCTATTTGTTTAGTTACTTTACTAGGTTAATACAGCAGTAATCAAGTAATTCTACTTAAACTAGTTAATTCAGTAAATGTTAATGATTGTTAGGATCATAAGTATTTATTAAATATAATTATTTAACAATTTAACATGAATCAAAGCACAGTAATATCGTTTAAAGCATAAAGAAATTATTGACTAATTTGTCCTTATATAGGATCAATATTTATGGCGAATTTAATTACATGCGTTATTTTATTGTCATTGTAAATGTATATTATAATGTGTGTGTACGATTAAAATCTTACATTAAACAAATTATTAATATTAATACCTGAACCTTTGAAATTAACTTCAATATTTCCAAGATTTTTGTTCGTCTCAATTTGATTAATGAGTAACCAACTAAAAACGTAATTTCGGCAATTGTATCTTTTTAAACCATGTTGTGTACCTTCTAATAACTTCTTTTTTTTTAATAATGGACATTGAAGGGACTACATAATACTAAAATTACAATGTACTTATATACTATACTATCTAGATAATAAAAAATGTTGATATAAACCCCTACATGTAAACCTAGTCGGTCCAACTCAAACCGGATATCGAAAACTAAGCCATCGCTAAGCTGTCACTGAGTTCACCAGTCGAAAGACCGCTTCCGTTGAATATGCGATTTTTACACATCCGGTCAGAGATGGGATGCTCCCGACGTCCGAACAACCCACGCGTATTATTGGAAAAATCTTATTTCGCTCGACTCTTTAAATACGTACCTAAAACCTCTATTAGTAGTAGATTTATTTGAATCCTTTTGTATTTCTTAAGACCTATTAATTCCCTGTGGTAGCTGTTGAGGCTAAAAACTTAAAGCTAGAGTTTTTTTAACGACTTAAAAATGAACTATCAATCTTTTAAACAAAAATTGCAATCCATGTTGAGGGCTAAAATCCAGAGAAAATAATTTTTGCGTTTTCGCGCCTTATTAATGTTGTAGTGTATGATCTATCAATTGAATTTAATAGATTAATCTTTTTTTAATTTATTTGAAATAAATCTACAAGCTTGCGATATTTTTACAGAAGAGTGGCGGGAGCGCCGACACAATAATGGACGACGGCGGCAGCAACAAGCAGAGGCAAGCGACAAGGGTCTTCAAGAAGAGCTCACCAAATGGAAAGGTAAGGTCAACCCTTTCGGCCATTCAAGATGAGAAATAATATTATCATTTGTACCAACATTTTTTTTTTAAGAATAGAAGGCTTGCCATTGCACCAAGTGCCTTTAGCGCCAAGTGCCTTTAGTTTTTTATAACAGAGGGCATACAAGTAAACTTGTATGCCCTCTGTTATAAAATACTCAGCAATCAAAAAGTCATGACAGCAATTAGTTTGACAAAATTGGCAATTTTATTTACATTTTATTGCCCCTTGATATATCGGTACCATAAAATGTCTTTATAAAGACGTCAGCAAATTATGCCGTAAACGCGCGTCTTCGGATGCGGTTAAATTCTCGAGAGGACACAAAAAGAGAACGGCCTTGATGTCTCAATCATGCCAGTGTTAACCGCAAAGTCGGTTTGCTTTTTCCTTACGTTTCATCGCTGTGTACGTTACGTTTAATGACGTTCCACCGTCTAGTGTTGTTATGAGAAACGTAGCAAATAAAGCTATTGATATTAAACTTTGTGCAATTGACCCAAAAATAATGACGGTAATTTGACTTGACTGCCGAATTGATATATGGAAAATGCACACCTACTTACAACATTACATTTTTAATCCATGTTATTTCTCGTTGAACTGTTAAATACTAGTAGTTTGATTCGTATTAAACCGTAAGAAGTGTTTGTTTATGTAACTTAATGCATAATACAAATATATCGTCGACGTATCGCGTAAATTACAGATATATCATTAAAAACTATACAATTAAAGCAGTTTTTGTTGGTTTGGATATAGATTAAGGATTTAATTAAAGCACTTTAACGGTTTAAAACGCGATATAATGGTTAAAAATCATTTGAAAATGATTTTTAACTTCGGCCCGACGTTTCGGATGCTTCGCAGCAGCCGTGGTCACGGGGAGACTTTTTTCAAATAAGTTTAACTAATATATCGCGTTTTAAACCGTTAAAGTGTTTTATTTAAATGTGTACTACTCGCGTAAACTATAGACCGTATTTAGATTAAGGATATTCTCATCTCGTTATCCTTTTTATTTAGTCACTGTATTGAAATACTCTCACTCCCGAAAATAGTTTCAGAAACTGCTTGCAAATTACGTTAGAGAATTATATTATGATGAATAACTTGCCTAATTTCTGAGGCAAATCCTTTACACGTGTAAATCACAAATTTATATTCCAAATATGGAGGCTCGAGTATTTGTAAACGTGCCCTTAGGCTGTTTGCCTTATAATTTAGCTTTTAGTTACGCTGCTTTAGTTCGAAAAGTGCTCGTAGCGCAGCTGTATTATGTAAATGTAGCATCGTGTCTTCACGGTTATCTTCGTGACTTCATATTATCGCTGTCATTAGACACGACTGTCAATCGACAATGTTGAGCTTGGGGTATCTACTTGAATTATGGTGAATTTGCATATGCCAAATGTATCTTAGCTAATCAACACTAAAATATAGTAATACACATTTTGTCTGTACGTTGTACAAGGAAACCAATTAAAGCAATTTTTAACAAAATATAACCGACTTCAAAAAGCATCCTAAAAAGAAACAAAAATACTTCGCACAGTAATCTATTATATAATTTATAGTCTATGGCAAATATATGTTTCAGCAATCTTACTTCAACATTCAATTCCTAAGTACACACAATTCTATGGGATATATTAAATTATTAGAATTTCCAACAGAGAATCATCACAACCGTTTTATAAACAACGAAGTTATGCCTAAACAAACATAATAAGCATATTTTATTTATACACATATAAAACTGCTGCAAAGCATCCAAACCGTCGGGCCGAATTTAAAAGCGTTTTCAAATAGGTTTAACTAATATATCGCGTTTTAAACCGTTAAAGTGTTTTATTTAAATGTGTATTACTCGCGTAAACTATAGACAGTATATAATAAGCATATATATAAATTGAATTGTAAACGCACTTTTTCTTGAAGTCGATTAATAAAAAGAGTTTTTGATAATTAAAATATAATATTAAAATCTAAGAATTGTTTTCTCTCTCTTTGATAAACCTGTTGGCTCACTTACCACAAGATAAATCTGTTATCGTTTTTGTAAACAGAGATTGAGATATAAGGCAGTAGTCCGTTTTGCAACTGTTTACTGGTCACACATACCAATATACTATTTCTGTGCAATAATTATCTATATAATTAAATAACACATAGTCCAGCTTCAAATCCGCCAAATCTTCATCCATATATTTATTTTAGAAGTCATTCACAAAATGCCGAAGTATTCGAAGCGAATAATTTGAATTATCGCTAAGCGGTTTCATACCCTGCATTCCAATGAGCGCGACGTTTTCACCTGAAAACATTTTATTAAATCTTTTTTTCATTTTTCGTTGCGCGGCTCGAGCAATTTTCGCCGTTATAATGTAATTGTTTATTACAATACACGTCTTGTAACGTACTAAACTTGATTGACTTTGATTTTATAAAATCAAAGTCAGGTATAGGTACCTTTGCAGATGATATGAAACCGCAGAGGCAGAGTAGCCTAACTGCATTTTTTTTCAGTTATTTTTACTTTCATAGCCTAAAAATATTAATCTAAAAGTGCACAGTGACTGAAAATTCTTAACATAATTACACAAACAATAGTAAAAATTCATTTTCGCCTCAGTTAATTGCGCATTTCCTTATTGAAAATCATGTTTTTTGTTATAAGGCCACTCTGCCGCTAGCAGCCCCATATACAAACTATATTTACAGGTATAAACATAAGTTGGAATAGAATTCCGAACCATTTAGGTCACGGACTTCAATTGCGTTCTAGGATAATCTCAAGATTAAATTGTATTTATCTAGCTGTGCCATTTCGCTAACGGATTATCTCTACGAAGCTCTTGTTTGTTTTGCATTTGCCAAGTTATTCCAATCTCTAAAATTATATCGTTTTATGTGATACGTACACCCTCTTGTGCAAGTCAGCATTATATGGTATAATACTAAGACAATATATATAAGGTTCTTAGAAGTGCAATTCATTATGTTTTAATTAATGTTTTTAACGGTTTGAAACGGGAAATGTATTAGTCACTTTATCCGTTGAGTTCTAGATTCATTAAAAAAACTGTTTTGAACCCATAATTTGCCTCGTCATTCAAGTAATAAGTTGAATTGTTATTTCTCCGGCTTTTTTTATTTCTAAGTACCCACTACCTACTAGTATACAATAATATATATTCTATACGGATAATTTTTACCTCGCCCTGAAATAGATATATCAGCTTAACTCAGCAAATTTTCATGATAAAATTCTCAATGTAAACATTTTCCTTTTCAGATCACAGTTTACTTAGGAAAACGGGATTTCGTCGACCACATCACACATGTAGACCCGATCGGTACGTATGCTTTAATATAAGGTACTATACGATGATAAATAGTATTTTATGGTTAAACGAGTATATGCCAAGGTAATTGATAACATCGGTGGATTAAGTTACGAACTAATAAAGTTCTTTGAAACCTTTAACTGACTTTAAACTAACAACATTTTCCTCGTGTCAGTGGAGGACAGACAAATTAGAGATTAGAAAAATGTTGAATCCGATGGGGATCGAATCTACGACCCAAGGTTTATTAGGCATACATCGCTACCATTTATAATCGATTTTTAATTTATATAGTAAGTGCCATCATGTGTAAAAATTATTAAAGTTTTCAAATACCACTGCGTTAGTGTTTTGAATAATCTTTGGCACATGTATGTATCATTATTTTGATGATTGCAAAATGTAAAACGTTTTGTTCATGGTAAGCCTAAGCATCAAAAGTAATAAGGGAGTAGTATTTTTCTCGCCTTTTCTCTTATATAGCTTTTCCTATTACGAGGGAATTTGCACGCAAAACACAGGCGTTGTTCTTGTATTTGTATCTTCCATTTCATTCGTGTTCAAAACAACCTTGAAATGGCAATCTTCAACAAACATCAGATAACATAAAACCAAACATTTACTCGAACTATTTGGTAAAGCAACGAGATTCTATCACGGCGTGTAATGAGCTACTTTATACGGAAAATGGAGATATTGTTTCAACACTTGTGGTATTCATATTCTGCTGAAAAATTTCGTAATATTTCATAACATGTTTCGTGGTTATTTTACTTAAACAAGAGCCGCTTTACTAAGTTACTTATCTAATCTAAACTTGAATATTTAAAAAAAAGACAAAATCTACATTATCGTACGCATGAAGCTTCGTTCCTCGCCGTGAGTTGCATACAGCATAGCAGTACATAGCCTTCCTGGCTTACAATGATATAAATTTCAAAACCGGTATTTTTTCGATAAAGCGAAATAAATAAAAAATATTTTGCTTTAACGTCACGAAAAATCTAATCGAAGGGTTAGCTCAGATCGAGATGAGATACACAAACAGGTACACGTTTAATTCCGAGTATTTTGCGCTGTGCAACCCGACGCCTCGGGTAGCAAGGCGCATTAAGACGTATCGCGGCGTAGGCGCATTGTTATATTCTTGCTGTGAAATTTGCTTATATTTGGGAAGCCATTAAAAGCGCTTTATGTAGCGCGAATCCACTCGCCTCTTCAAGTGTCGTCGTATCGCATCGCGTTTCGTTGTGATCTTGACCCTTATTAAGTTATAGCTATATAATGTCACAGTAAATATACATAGCTTATCATGTCTTCGAATGCTAATTTCAGATGGGGTCGTCTTAATCGACCCGGAGTATGTGAAAGACAGGAAGGTGTTCGGCCACGTCTTGGCCGCGTTCCGCTACGGCAGGGAGGACCTTGACGTCTTAGGCCTGACTTTCCGCAAGGACCTGTATCTGGCCGCTGAACAGGTAATGCGATATGGAGAAGACGAGGAAAAAATTAATGCTACTAATAAGGTTTTCCCAGAAATTATTAGACTTTTTCTTGTCGTGAAAACTATTCTTGGTTTATTTAATTTAATGTGTTTATTTTAAGGTGTGCCGTAGTTAATTTAAGTAAATCTATTTTAACTTTACAAACTGTAACACACTATCTCACTCCTATTGTTAGTCATCATCTAAGCATAAGATAGTTCTTACAGTTATTTCATTTTAAAATTTCAGATCTACCCACCTACGAACGTGCAAAAACGGCCGCTGACGAGACTACAAGAGCGCCTCGTGAGAAAGCTCGGTCCCTCTGCGCACCCCTTCTATTTCGAGCTGCCCCCGCATTGTCCAGCTTCTGTAACCTTACAGCCAGCACCCGGTGATACGGGGAAGCCATGCGGAGTGGACTACGAATTGAAAGCGTTCGTCGCGGACTCACAAGATGACAAGCCACATAAAAGGTTTTGAACGCATAATTTGATAGAATTACAAATTGAAAAATGTTTATTGCCCTTTTAACACAAATCAATAATATATAGATAAGAAATGGTAATCGGTACCAGTCTCAGCTTTGCTGCAGTATGCTTATCACACTCAACAGGGCCGGTTTTCAGACTGGCCCGGGTATAGTAGAAGAAGAATGAAGTTTATAAAATGAATTTATACAATCCTAATAGAATTTTATAAATTGTATTAAGTCTAAGATAGTAAAATTAACCAATTGATACCATATCATAGACCGAATATGATATCTGCTTCCCAAGGAGGTCCAGTTTTACATGCCGCTTGAAAGTTGAATTTCGTTTACATAATAGCAAGCATATAAATAAAACACTTTACCGGGTTATAACTTGAAAAATATTTTGTAACTTATTTACACATTGTTACACGGGGAGTCTTCCCGTACACACGGCTGCTGCAAAGCATCCGAAATGTGCGTAGTTAATATAATTTAAATTATATTTATCTGTGTAAACGTGTGTATAAGGTATTTAACAAAAATGTATTCTTTCAGAAATTCAGTTCGCCTCGCCATTAGAAAGATAATGTATGCGCCGAGCAAGCAAGGCGAGCAGCCGTCCGTCGAAGTGTCCAAGGAGTTTATGATGAGCCCCAACAAATTGTACCTAGAAGCTTCTTTAGACAAGGTACGACATATCTGTTAAAATGAAACACAGATAAAAACGCCGGCAAGTTTATTCGCGTTTCAGTTTCAATCTGTGGATTTCCGAATATCCAAAGCCAAAAGCGACAGTGCATCTCGCTTAGATGTTATACGGCTGAGATGTTTCAGGGTACTTTGATAGAATCTCATGCTTGTCCTTCTCTATCATAAAAATCTTAAATGAAAATCTCTTTGAAAACAGAAAAATACACCTGTTTCACATCTTGATATTATTTAACAAGCTAGTAATAAATAAGACTTATTTTTTCTGCCTTACCTAAACAATTCTATCATGCAATATTTCCTGAAATTAACTCTTAAGTTAGTTTAAAACTTTAAACTAACGTATAATCGATTAACGTTAACTTGCGTCAAATCTTCCGAAATGTAACGATTAAAAGTTTAACGAAGCCAACTTTTTTTGTAGCGGATTAAAGATTAACCCATTCGGAAGTTTGATTAACGCTGCGCAGTTATCTATTTTTTTTTTAACAAAACACTTTAAAACGAGATATATATAAGTACAACTAATATATATCGCGTTTTAAACCGTTAAAGTGTTTTATTTAAATGTGTACTTCTCAATACAACAAACAGTATTTGATTTTTTTTACTTTTTTTCTAGGAGTTATACCACCACGGCGAGAATATAGCTGTGAACGTGCATATAGCGAACAATTCGAATCGTTCAGTGAAACGAATTAAGGTGTCCGTACGCCAGTTTGCGGATATTTGCCTTTTCTCCACTGCCCAATATAAGTGCACTGTGGCGGAAGCGGAGAGCGAGTTAGTATTATTCATATAATCTTAAAATCAAGGCTTACAAAAAATTGGTATACCAGATGTCTATGGTACTTTCAACGATTGTCTATAGACAAAAATTAAGGTTGTAAAATTTTATACTATCTTATTATAGGCCTTAGTGACTACTAAATAATAAAAAAAGGTTTTTTCCAACTTTAAAGGAAGTTTAAGAACTTTAGATGCCTTTGAGGTACTTTGGTGATCGCAGCCGCGTATTAGTTGATTAAAATTTACTCGTTTCTAGGCAACCCGGGCTGCTCGATACTTTCCAAATTCCGTTTATCGGATATTTCAGTAAGAATAAGAAATTTAAGCTTGTGTAAGTGCCTGTGAGTGTTTTTTTTCTTTTTGTACCTAATACTGCTCGTAACGTTTTGATATGAAATACGGATATAAATAATAAATCCTTGAATGTATGAAATGTGTTCTAGGGGCATAACTAACAATCACTCGTACATACAAATAATTTCTTTTGTGTATTTTTTTTTTGTTTTGGATGATGCAATAGTTAAATTAATTTTTGCAATTTGGACATATTTTACTAAGATATTGTCTTGGTTATTTTTGTCTCGTTCTACATTTTATTCGTTGCAGTGAGGCGTGAAGGCACTATGAAATAGGTTGTTTAAATATTTGTATTTTTTCATATTATACATAAAAGACGACTGCGCTAAATAATTATAAAAATCAAATATTTCCTAAACAAACACAAATATATGTTTGAAGATGGTGTAGCTGGTTATATAGCTTATATGCTTCCATAGAGAAGGCTGCCCTGTCGGTCCTGGGTTCACGCTCAGCAAGGTGTTTACGTTAACGCCGTTGCTGGCCAACAACAAAGACAAATGGGGTCTAGCGCTCGACGGACAGCTAAAACACGAGGACACAAACCTCGCTTCAAGTACTTTGTAAGTCTTATTTTTTATATAGATTATTATTTTTTAGATAATTTAAAGAGGTATGCTTCTATTATACATATTTTTTGTTTTCTTGAACCGTTGTTGTAGGCTACGCAACAAAATCCATCAAAGAAGTTTTAATACATTTTCCACTGTTTCTTTGCTCCAATAAATCGCAGTGTTATGTTACTTATAGCCTAAAGCCTTCCTCAATAAATAGTCTTACAAAAAATATTTCGAACCCGTTGTTCCTGAGATTAGCACGTAACAAACAAACTCTTCTGCTTTATAATATAAAAGTATAGATGTGAGAAAACTTCTATATGTGAGAAATATATTTATTGATAAAAATATATGTTAAGTTTTACTTAATTTTTAACTTTGTTTGAGCTTTAACTATTTATAATTCAGGATAGCAGATCCGGCGCAACGCGAAAACCTCGGTATTATTGTGGAGTACAAAGTTAAAGTCAAACTTTGCTTAGGACCACTCGGAGGGTAGGTTATTGTTACGATATTATTTTACATTTTTATTATTATAAAAGTATCATCGTAATGGATTGCTTGGAACAGTTATACCTTGCTGTGATGAACCAGAGACAACTCTGGTTCATCACAGCAAGGTATAATTGTTCCAACGTACTACATCCACTTTTGTATACGCTTCCTATATTATAAGACGTTAGTGTAAAAGAAAGTAATTGACCAGGATCATGTATACCTAAATCTACATACAAATACAAATGCAGGATAATTAATATGTGTGTGTGTTTTTATTTATTATAGTGATTTAAGCGCGGAGTTGCCATTCATCCTGATGCACCCGAAGCCGGAGGAAGAGCCTCCGCGTTCCGCACCCGACCCGGCGCCCGCAGACCACGACCTCATACAGCTTGACCCACAACCGTATGTTACATTTTTACACAGATCTAGTCTCAAGGGAAGTCCGATGGTTTTATCTTATATAATAATCATCTAATGTCTTGAGTCCATATTAAAACCGAGGTAATCCATATATTTTTAACCGCAAAGAGCGTGGTATTTTTTCAGAATTTAAATAAGGTTTTTATTAATGCAATATTTATAGTAAACCTTATGTAGTGGATAAGATTCAAAGGACTTAACACGATTTGTTATTATTTAAATAGTTCTATTAAAAATCATGTTGTATAATAAAACAATTACGTAGGGAAAAAATGGTTAGAAATATTCCCATGTAATAAAAAAAGAAAAGCATATTTATTATGTAAAACCACACATCGAAAATTATTGATAAATAATTTTATTTGCAGAAATGAAAACGGCCAAGACCAAGACGATGATATAATCTTCGAAGATTTCGCACGGCTCAGGCTTAAGGGCGCGGAGACCGACGCTTGAACCCTATACTAGTAGCGCTCCCTCATTGAACTACTACCAAAGAAGATTCATCACGCACAATACCCACTTTTATGGGGCAGAAATTAGATATTTCTTATCTGTTCTAAAGAAGTTCAAATACGTATTATCTGTTTTAATAATGGCGGGCGTGATCAAAGTGAGGTTATAATGTTGCCAGGTTACAGAATCGATTGTAGTTTATTAAGGGAGCGTAAGTTAATGCATGTATAAAAAACAGGAACAAACTAAGAACCCTGTACAGTGTAAAGTGTTTATCACGCTATTTTTAATATAAAGAAGTTATTTATATTTAATTTTTTAACGCACCAATACACCGCAATAGGGCTTTGAACAATATATTATTAGTTTTACTTCGATTAAGTTAAACGTAACAGCTTTTCGCCCAAACATTTTCTTAGGTAAGTTTAAATAAATATTTAATGTATATCAAATGTGTTTTATGGTAATTGTAGTTTTATCATTATGCGAGTACAAGTTTAGTTGTTATATTATATGTATTATGTGTTATCAATTATCGGCCATTTGTTTTTATTTTTCTTATATAGATATAGTACAATGTTTTGGTAATGTGCATTTAATAGAATAAATGTGTTTTGTACCTCAATGTTATTTACTTTATGGATGTAGTCGTGTTGTATAGTTATTTATGGTTAATGTTGGAAGAATTTAATATTGAACAAAATCAATTTATAATATTAATCTATTTTAATACCAGAAAGATGGTGTATAGAACATTTTAAATTGTATAGCTACAATCATTTTGAATTCTAAGCTATGAAATAACTTCGTTCGAGAGCAAAACTTAAAATTTTCACAACCACCTTTAATATTTATATAAAACTTAATTACGTGAGCCGTTCAAAAATAGCAACGAATGCCCGATGAAATTCAAGTAGTGAAAATATAACGAGCACTTGAACAATAATAATTTGAAGATATTTTAAAATCTTTTCGACAGTTTCGTAAGTTCTTATGATTTTCCTTGTACCCGTATTGCTATCAGGCTAGTTAAAAGCTTTAAGTGCACAAATTTATATTTATTTAATGATGATTGTGTTACCCCGTGCTGCATAGTATTTTTCAAGTCTGTTTAATAGTATGTGAAAGAAAGCAGCTGAGTTTAAACAATGCAAATGTATTTTTCTTTGCCATAGGCTTGCTGTATTCATTTGTTTCGCGAAAAAAAAGATGGAAGTACCAATGTATTAGTTTAACGGTAAAATAAGTAACTGTAAAAAACTTATGAAATAATAAGGAAATATATCCAAATGAAAATCTAAATGCACAATATACTTACCAGTTCCTACAGTATACTTTTAGTTATCAAACTAATGTCAGGAACTGTTATATTGTAAAATAACGTTTAAAACCAGAGGCTTTTAAGATATTGGTTATTTAAAATGTACAGTTCTATTAAGATTGTTTAAAATTTTTCACTTTCATATAATATTTGTCAAGAGTAAACCAATATGCATTAAAATTGATGAATATGTACTAATACAATAATCAATTGGGACATGTTCAAATATGCTGTAAAATACATCAATTTATTTTAAGTGTATATGTCGCAACAATGCAAGATGATGTTGTTAAATAAAGATACCTTATTATTTCATCGAAGACTTTTTGATGTAACTTTTTTTTCAATATTAAATAAAATATTATAACATGATCATTTGTTTTATTGAATTGTACAATAGTTATAAGGCATAAGCCCCGTAAGACTATATCTATATTAGGCAATCATAAATAAGGTTTATACTGACAAAAGGATTGCAATTTTCATCGTAAAATAGTCAAGGTTACTAAAATTCTCAATTAGATTAGAACAGCCGCACGGAACGCTGGATGCCGACTCTAAACGACATAAGTCCCATCAGTGACATCATTTTTTTTCAAATCCAAATAGATTATAAATGCCAACATGTGAAAAAAATTGTGTTTTCCTTTTATTAGTCAATGGTTTTGTATTCATGGCCTAAAAGACTTGCTTAAACAATATTATCAATGCCAACTATTGACACACTTCACAGATAATATTTGTGTTGAAGTTAAAGTTGAAGAGTTTGTTTATTTGTTTGCACGCGCTAATCTCATAAACTACTGGTTCGAATTGACAAAATATTTTGTGTTGGTTAGAGTATTTATCGAGGAAGGCTATAAAACATTCCGCTGGGACAATTAGAAGCGAAGGAACAGTGCGATACGTGGAAAAAAGGAGGAAAACTATTGATCATTGTGGGTTTCTGATGCGTACGCTGCAAAAAAATATATCTAAGAAAAATGATTTCTCTTTAAATGATTTAAGAAAAGTCCGCGACTATGTCTATCTTTTAAAATTAACTTGCAATAACGACGCGACCCAAACGATGGGTCGCGAGCGACTGTACGGGACCGATGTCGTTAGTAACAACTTTAATTTATAAAGATCAGGTTTATAAAAACAAATTAGAATGCCCAAAATTCTTCGCAAACGAAGTCCCTGACATAGCTAATTACTGTATAATACTGACTGATCATTCAGAATCGAAAAAACCATTAAATTAAAAAGAAGAAGAAGAAGATATTATCGATCTTAGAAAACTGTCGTATTTATATGTCAATTGTCAGAATGTCAGAAATTCAAATTTCAATCGGATTGAGGTTATAATTATTGTTTACAAGTCGGAAAATTTTATATTGTTTTTCCAACATTTGTAACAATTCTGAGATAGCTATTAATTTAATCAGGTTTATAAATATATCTTATTCTGTGCATCATGTGTATGTTTAGTTCGTCGAAGCTTAATACTCCACTGAGAATTTTAGGATGTAAAATTACTTTACAAAACAACTTAAACAAAATGAGTGTTCGTGGCCTGACTAAGAAGGAACTGGAGGAGTTAAGAAAAAAGGAAGAAGAGGAAGCGGCAGCTCATGTAAGTACTGTCAGAAATTTTTCAAACAATTCGGATTACGCGTCTAACATGTCTGTTATAACACAACTCTAAATCTTAACTAAAGCTTAATCATTACGCTCGAAAAATGTGCCTCTTATTTGGTGAATTGCGAATTCTATCCAACTACTACAATACTTTTTTATGCAATTTTTGTGCTTTACAATTTGATAGCACAAAGTTATTTTGATAAACTGTACTGTATTTTTAAAGTAACAACAAATTGTAACAGGTATTTAAGGAGTTTGTTGAAACATTCCAAGAAGTACCAAGCAGTACATCAAAGGTTTGGGTAAAGGCAGGGACCTATGATGCTGGTGCTAGAAGTAAGTTGTCCTTAACTCCTTATCTTAAAATAAAATTACCATTCTGTATAATTTTTACTCCTTATTGTTATGGGTTTGAAAACAAAAAAAATGTTATTTATTATTATTTGGTTCCTTATAGTATATAAGTAAATACAGGGTTATACCTTTTCAAATCCATTTTGGTAACCCTCTTTTATTGAAACAATTTGTAGAGGAAGACACATCAGAGAGAGGCAAACTCTACAAGCCCACATCTCGTTTGGATGAGAAAAGGGGTATTACTGAAGCAGAGGTTGTAAGAAATCTAGCACTTCGCCCTGAGCCACCTGGTAGGCCTCGAAATAAGAAAGGAAATGATAAAAAGAAAAGTAACCTGGAGTTATTTAAAGAAGAGCTCCGACAGTAAGTTAATCTTAATTTAAAACAGGGTAAATGAGCTATAGTACACTTTCAAAGATATGAGATACAGGTTAAAACCATCTTTTTTAGAATACAAGAGGAAAGATCAGAGCGTCACAAATACAAAAATGTCCTCCGAGATAAGGGTATTGTTGTACCGGAACCTCCTGTTGATACTATTCCTGATGTGGGCTCTTATGATACAGGCGACCCTAACACAACCAACCTGTACCTTGGCAACCTGAATCCAAAGGTAGTAAGAATCATAAAATTTATTTGAATTGTTATTTATTTAGTATGTTTGTAGATTTAAATTATCGGTTTTGAACTGTCATTTTGTTGTAAATGCATATTATTTGCATTTTTAATAAAAAAAAAAAAAAAAATTATGTTAAAGTTACTCTTTCTTTGAAAACTTTTTAAGAGCAACAGCACGGAATGCTGACAATGCCTGAGTCAAAAAATTTTCGATTCTTAAATTAGTCTTTCTTACCAACATGGCTAAGCTAAAATATCACCTCATATATTTATTAGATAAATAAATATATGGTTGGTGTGATGTGATTTACAACCACAATTATTTTATTTATTTGTATAGATAACAGAACAGCAATTGATGGAGATATTCGGTCGTTATGGTCCACTAGCCAGCATAAAGATAATGTGGCCTCGCTCTGATGAAGAGAAAGCCCGAGGCAGAAACTGTGGCTTTGTAGCCTTCATGTCTAGGAAAGATGGAGAACGGGCACTTAAGAATATAAATGGTGAGGGTATTTAATATTTTTGCTTAATTATCAATTGTAATTGGATAAAATATGTGACATTTTAAAATTAAAAATTATTATATATGTTTTATTTTGAAACCAAAAGTATAATGTTAATGCAACCTCTATGTGGAGGAGTTTTTTAATGGTTGATTTAAGTGTGTCATGATGTTGTCAGCAATCTCATCCCATATCATCCCTATGGCAACAATATCAAGTAAATATTATTATACATTTATTACTCATTTCAATCCTTGCAGGTAAAGAAATAATGAACTATGAAATGAAACTGGGTTGGGGCAAAGCTGTCCTAATTCCTCCTGTACCCATCTACATTCCACCATCTTTGCATCACCCGTCGAAGCCACCTCCACCTTCTGGGTTACCATTTAACGCGCAACCACCAAAACATTTGATTGAAAAGGTGATTTTTGGTTAATCCTTACTAATGTTATAAATGCGAAAGTAACTCTGACTGTCTGTTACTCTTTCACGCCAAAACTACTGAACGGATTTGAATGAAATTTGGTATACAGATGGTCTAGACCCTGAGAAAGGACATAGGCTAGGGCATAGGCTTTTTATTGCAAAAAGGGGGTTAAAAGTTTCATGGAAATTCGTAGTTTTTTTGAAGCTAAAACGATAAAACTTTCTTCTTTGGCTTTTTGGGAATAGGATTGGGAGTGGAAGTGAGTGTAGGAGTTACAGTAGGAGTGATGTGAGGTGACAGTGTTGCGGCAAAATATCACTTACAACATAGATAGGCTGACTTAAATGCGCCCTTACATAAATTAATAAACAAACAAGTCACTACTCCACGCGGTTAAAGTGGGTAGTTCACATTTTTGTGCCTCCGTTTAAACCGTTGCTGTACATAGTAATATTAACAAATTTGACTTAGCTGACGAAGCCGGTTCAAGTCCTGCCCGAGTCGAAAATTTTTTCAATTTATTTTCGATTTTTAAATTTGACTTAGTTACGCGAAACATTGATAATTCCACATTTTGTTTGGAAAATTGTAAGAAAAATAATGAAGTTATAACTAAGCATATATTTTTAGTCATTGTTTTATTTTTCCCGTTGTTCATAGATTCCACGCATTCGACCTGGTGAATATTATCCCAGTGATCCCGAAGACAAAAACATGTATGAACAGGTAAGGTACAATATTTATATTTTTAATGTTATCTCCCTTTTATGGTCATACAATATTAAAGAAAATAAATATTTTTAGATACTGTCACAGTCCATCGTAAGAGTCGTTATACCAACAGAGAGGTAAGTAAAGTTTTACTTGTATACCACTTTACAATTAGAAAGTATAAACATATCTTAAGCAAATAAATCTAAAAAAAACTAACAGTATTTGTAAAATCATTTCTGGCATATAGAAAATAATAATACAACATAAACAAACAAAAATATTATGTTGTGCCCTGCCTTTCGAACATAAGTTGAGTTCGATACTTCTAGACGACCATGGCTCTATAACTTAATACTTACACTTACTTAATATAACTTAATTTCTAAAAACACTTATTTCAGGAATATTCTGATGCTTATCCATCGAATGGTTGAATTCGTGATCCGCGAAGGTCCGATGTTCGAAGCCATTATCATGAACAAGGAGATGAACAACCCGTTCTTTGCGTTCCTCTTCGAAAACCAGTCGCCTGCGCACGTCTACTATCGCTGGAAATTGTTCTCCATGTTGCAGGGGGATTCACCAAAACAATGGTCTCCAGATGACTTTAGAATGTTCAAAGGTTTCTTAAAATTATTTTTAAGATAGATCTCAATTTTAAATAGAAATTTTAGAGAATATTTGGAGCTTTTCACTTGGTCATGAAAAAAAATCTATAAAAACTTATTTAAATCAACTTTCTCAATGCATGCCTTCCGTGTTTCCAGATGGATCCGTATGGCGACCACCGGTGATGAACCTGTATACAGCTGGGATGCCTGATGAGCTCGTGGAGGAAGAAGATGCCAAAGATAATTTACGAGGGACACTCTCAAATAAGTAAGAAATAAATGAAAACGTTTTAATATATTTTATGTTGTTTCCATCATACGTAATGTTTTATTTTTTTGAAATCTTTTCACACGTAAATTTTTCCTATTCTTGTAATATGTGAGTACATATACTCAGAATTGATTATATGGGTTGGGTTATATATATTGCTAAACCATATGTCGTAGCGAAAATCTTTCCAAGATAAATTATCACCAATGTTATTTTTTGATAAAGTTCATAATGATATCAATAAACTAACTATTAGCGTTATAATATCATTATGTCGGAAACCGGCCGGCCAAAAACCAACCCCGACGGAACAGATGGCGCCAGCGTAGCAATTTTTTATTTCAATGTATATTATATGTAATTGCTAATTTTAAAGTTATTATTTACTTATTATCATTATATTTATATTTAAAGGATACATTATTTCATAGTTTATGGATTAGAATAAACAGCACTTAGTATTCTATCGGGGCTATGCGTCAACGCTTCGTCCTATACTATTTCTTATCGATCACTAGCCCCATGCCCCACGGGGGGAGTTAGTTATTTTTTTATAGTTCTTATGTTCATGTCATATAATAAAAATTTCCAGCCAGCGGGACCGTCTTGAAGATATAATCCGGCATTTGACTCCGAGCCGTACAAGCGTCGGTGAAGCGATGGCCTGGTGCTTAGAACACGCTGAGGCGGCTGGCGAAGTGGCTCAGTGTCTCACTGAATCCCTATCTGGGGAATCGACGGCCCCCCACAAACGCATAGCCCGGCTCTATTTGCTGTCCGATATACTGCATAATGCTGGTGCTAAGTTGACTCATGCCAGCGCTTTTAGAAACGCGTAAGTGTTTTTGTAAGAAAATGACAAACATGAGTGAAATTCATTATCAGCCTTGTAACGCCTAATTCTGAAGTAAACTAAGATTAAACAAATTGTGTAAGGCTTTCACGGCCATCGTTCAGCATATCATCGAACAGCTCAACTCTCAACTCAATATATTAAAATTAATAATAATTAATAAATAAAATTACACGGAACCAAAAATTAATCATTACTAATTATTATTTAGATAATGAACATTTAAAAGAAGTTCCAGTTGTTATCTTGTGATCTAGTCGAGTTGATGTCTATGTGATCTTGGCATTTTAATTGACGAAAAAATAACTTTTGAAACGCATCTGGACGCAGTCATCAAAAAATCTTCCAAAATGTTAGGATAGCACGTCGAAAGTGTTACTATTTAATAGTCTGCTCTGCAGTCAACTAGAATATTGTAGTCAAGTTTGACGCCCACATTTCGCCTCGCATCAATTAAGGCTCGAGCGCATTTAAAAAAGTTTATATGGCATCTCACCGGAGTCTTTTCCCCCTCTTTAAAACAAGTACCTCACAAGGATAGGGCCTCTCATTTTAAATTAATGACCATTGACAATAGGTTTAATATGGCTGACCTTTCTTTTCTCCACAAAATTCTGAATAACTTTGTAGACATTCCTGGGAAGTACCCCCGTTCCCCCATTAAACCTTTTGCCGTTCCATTTTTTTCGAACCGTCCTTGGTTCTTCTTCCGCAATCCCTAGATTTTGTAAATTAATGAACAAATATTCGTCTCACTTAGACCCTTTCCATCTATCGTATAACGGGTTTCGTCGGCTGCTCAAACTTACTCTAGAAAAAACTTAATAAGAATACAAAGAAAATTAAGAAATGTATTTACCTATTTTTAGTTAAATGATTGTAACTTAGCTTTAAGATTGTCTCACTCTGTTTAGACTATAATTTATGAATATTGTACCTAATATTTTTTGTTGTACCCCACACCATGTGTGTTTAACGCATGTAGTACCTCTACCTTAAATAGGATATGTAGATAGCTATAGTCTTTATATTGTTAATACTATATATTTATACTCTGTAATACCCGCTGGCGGGCTTTTTTTAAAATAAATAAATAAAGACGATGATATGCTAAGACTAAACAGTTTAAAATACGATAATTTCAATCGACCGTTTAAAATTTGACTTGGAAAACAAAAAAAAAGAACAATCCGAAGTTAAAATAATGTTCAAATAAGTGTTACTAATATAGTTGGCGTTTAAGTGTTTTATTTAAATGTTTCCCCCCCGCGTAAGCTAGAGACGGTATTTTGAGGACAATTCTAATACATTGTTCTCAATTTTCCAACCATCAGCTTCCAGCAACGTCTTCCTGAAATAATGAAGCAATGCCACATAGCGTGGAGTAACATGACGTCACGAATCCAGCAGGAAGGATTTCGCGCGAGGGTCACTCGTATAATGCAGGCCTGGGCTGATTGGGCGGTCTACCCCACGGATCTGCTCATACACATAAATAATGTATTCCTAGGACACGATAAGGTATATAACCCTTCTACTGTTGTACTGAGCTGGACAGCAATGTCCGACCGAAGTTTTTATTTTTGAGAGCGTCTTTGGATAATTAGACTGCAAAGCCTAATGTAATTACTAGCTGACTCAGCAAACGTTGTTATGCCATATAAATTTTTTTCTAGGAAATTTCTAGTATGTAAGGGTCTGGTAGTAAAAGACGCATGGAGTGCTGTGAATGATAAGGAAGTTTTATAAAATTATCAAAGACGGTAGGCGCCTTGGGCGGATAACTTACAATTTTATAATTGAGCAGTTATAGATCGGGACGAAAAATGATAATGGTGATAAAATGTTAAAAATTTTGGGTTGTATGCATTTCTTAATGTCGCATTATAGAAAAATAGAAATCAAAATATATGGCTGGAAATTAAAAAAAAATGTTATGGGTGAACAACTTTTATAACTTAGGGGCATGAATAATAGATAGAGGTTGATGCTCAGACCTACTGAATTTGCATTCGGATTTATTGATTTTTACCAAATTTTATTGGTAAAAATCAGTAAATCCATTTCGGGGAGATAACAAGGTAACCCTCTTGTGAAACGATTATAAGCTTAATTTTCAAACTCCTCAGGGTGATAGAGATAGAGCAGCTGCTGAGGACAAGGACGGAGATGGATCTGATGAGGGAGAAGGAGATGGTTCACCCCGATCTTCAGGTTCAGAGGGCTCATGGAGTGAAAGCGGTGCGGGTCCGCTAGATGGCGCTGCGCTAAGACGAATGGCATCGCAACGATTGCCCGCTGCTGCCACAACTAAAATCGACGATATCGATGGTGTACCAGGTACTCTTTAGAGTTCCAATATTCTCTTGACTGACCCTCTTGCTTATTATCGGGCTAGTTAGTCTTTTACCATTGTATGTGTCATAATCAATTTATAAATAAACACGTTAGACTTCATATAGAAATCTGGATATTAAATGTCAAAATCCTGTGTAAAACTCACGGATTAAAAAAACCGTGTTTTTTGGTTTTAGTCTATGTATTTCCGACTATACATGGCCCGTTTCTTTGTCCACCATTTTGTTCGTTCAATTATTTTCTTGTGTATGTAAGAGTATGTATGTGTAATATCGTTCGCAGATTTGGTTAAGATTGAAATTAACGAATGTATCAATGATTTTATTTTTGATATAACAATTAATGTTCCAGTTGATGAAGATATTGATGGTGTTCCACTGGAGGCGGAAGCAGATGCCGATACAGAAGGTACAGAACGGGTGGCGGCGGGATTCATCCCCTCGAAGTGGGAGAGCGTAGACCCTACCCCAACTCAAGTGGAGGAGGACGATGACAGAACCCCCACCACACCGATCAACGCACAGAACGACGGGTACGTTTTATCATCAGAGAAGTTATAAAAATATTAAGTTAGTAGATGGATTATGCTGATTTTTACTTTCCCGTAACATAAACAGTGAAATCCTCTTACCCCGTGGGCATGGGGTGAACACATTTCTGTGTCAGTTGATGAGACCTCTCTACCCTGCCTGACCGAAACAATATATTGTCTACACAGTTCGAATTCGAACATGTTTAACCAAGTGGCTAGGCGGTTTCTTAATATAAAGAAGATAATATTTGTTATATTTTTCGAAATATTTTATAATTCTTTATTTTATAATTAATTTAATATCAGGGCGGAGTCACCTCAAGCTCGCAACGAGGAACGTTCTCTGAAGAGAGAAACGCTACGTGAGATTGAAGTTCGCGTACTTAAGTACGCGGACGAACTCGAAAGCGGCGCACGCGCACGTCGATCCGCCCTCACGCCTCACCAACAAATACAACACTATCGCAGAAAATTAATAAAGAAAGTAAGTTCCCAGGTCTGGAAGTAGTAAAATGTTAAAGACAACCAAAATAGCAATATTAATAACGATACGCCGTAATTTAAACTTGTAAGAGTAAAACTTAAGGTCCAGTTAGTTTAAAGTCTACGCTGACTGTGTTATGTATTAGTACTTCTTAGTGTTTAAGTTATACACGTTATAAGGAACAAATAATTATTGTACTAGGCAATAAAAGAAGCAAAGGAGTCCTCACCGGGCGCAGCTTCCCCCGTACCGGCGAGGGAAGAAGACGCTCACTCGAGTTGCTCCAGAAAATCGAAGAAGTCACGTGACCCCTCGCTATCGCCGCCCTCTTCACACAAACGTTCTAGATACTCGTAAGTTTATTTAACAAATATAATATAATGTTTACTAAGAACAAGAAACTAAGATAGAATAATTTTATAAATATATAATTTGTCTTTAAGAGATCGCAAGTCACGATCAAGATCACGCTCGCGAGAACGAGACAGAGATTTGGACAGATCTCGTGACAAGGAGCGCGAAAGAGAACGTGACAGAGATCGCGAGCGGGAAAGAGACAGGGAGAGGGACCGCGAGCGAGACAGACGGCGGCGATCGCCGACCACGCCCCCGCACCATCGGAAGCACTCGAAACACGCTAAATACAAATACTAATAGTCTTCAGTCTGATAATTGAGCATAAACCTCATGTTTAAATACATTATGCGAATAATCATGAAATGCACCTGTTTTGTAATATAATACTTTAGATGAATAATTGAAGTTTATTTAAAAATCGCCTTAATACCGTCACTAAGACTAATCCATTGTCGGGATGTTCGAAAAATCTCGATTAGCAAAGCACCGCACCGGACCGTCTATGGCCTACGGCCTAAATTAAAGCACTTCTATCGAATTTTAGTCTGAGAAGAACAATGACCAGCAATGACTATATAAAGTTATCTTGTTATAAATAGAATTATAATTAATTTCTTTTTAAATAACATCAGTGAAAACGTGTTGAGTTAGACTTGTAACAGTGTAACATGAGTGTCATTAAAATAAAAATAAAGATAGCTAAAGATATTTAAAAAAATAATACGAAAACATTTTATATGGTGTTCCATCCTGTTTACGTACATATGCATATCCATTTGAACCCCAGCAATACTTATAATTGTGGAATTTAACACAGTCCTGCGCCAAAGAAAACAAGCGTTTGATTTTCCGTATAAAGTACCGAGATGTAAATAGTCATAGCATCTTAGGTGCGTTTCTCACTTCTAAACCAGTTTTCTTTAGAGATTTCGCTAAGCATTTCTGCTGGTCCTCCATAGCCTGCAAATCTGCAGATACGGATTTCTATGGAGATTGATGGCCGTCGATTTTGTTCCCTATATCATCCACCTTTTTTGCTACAAAAATCCATTGATTGTCCAATAACTTGGCTCGTCTTGTCTACTATACTTGTCACTATTGATTTAAAATAGTGAGAGGTTTGGTAGATAAGTCCGATATGGACTTTTCCAGAGATTAAAGTCTGCTTTTTTGCTGGGAAAAGAACTTTTCCGTATTATTATTTTGTTCTTTTTGAGAAACTGCAAAATATGTCTTATTTTTCTGCGAAATGTTACAAATCCATCAACGTCATGAATCTTCAATCGTTTAGGCTTATTTGAGTTCAGGAATGCCCAATCAGGAATATCCAATGCGGAAGCGCTGTCCTTTTTTTTATTGGTTCTGCCTTTGTGGGTGTGGCCACCGCCTCGTTTGTGCTGCGCGTGAGTCGGTGGGCGGGGCTGATACTAGGGTACTAGGCTCCCAGAAACAAAATGATAAACACGACACAACTCACTGCAGTATCATTCAGAATTTAATTTGATATTAAAATAAAAAAAAACGGAATTTAACACAGACACGTCCACTACGTTAACGGTCCGAAACTACTTGTAGAAATCGGATCATTGGTCGTCTTGTTCCGATTTAATCTCTAATACTGGTCCTGGGTCTATTTTTCATGAACGGGAACGACCCCACAATTTTTCAGGTGGCGCAGCTAACGTGTTTGTTTTAAAAAGATATTTAAGCATGCTCGATCCGATGAACCAAAATCAAAGCCGTATTTTATTTATTATTCATAAAATCAAGTATACCTAAGAAATTTTGATAAGAAAAGTATTAAAAAAATTACAGGTAGTATGATATCAATAGAAAGCAAGTTTCTGGAGTAATTTTCTAGCGAATCATTACTTAGACTTGTATATTATTCTTAACGTATTCAACTCGGCTATAAAGTAAGTGAGTTTGGTAGAAAAGGAAGGGAAAATAATAACACACATAACTTTATTTTATATCACATTATACTCGTATATTCATATTTAAAACATTACCAATAAAAATCAGAAAAGCAAAACAAAGACGCAAAAATACATACCTATGACATAATGTACACCTGTATGATTTGATTACAAGGCAACTTTACCACAATATTGTCTATTGCACATGGGCATAAATAAATTGTAATAATAGGGATTACATAAAATTGGGTACACAATAATTTTTGAACATAAAAGATATAATTCGATTTCAATTTGACTAGGAATAATGCTGGTTTTGAGATTCAACTTATAAAACTTATACTTTAAATTATAATCTAACAGCTTAAAATTAAATAAAATTCTAAAAGCATAGCCCAGTTGAAAACAAACATTTAAATTTACCAAAAAACAAATACGAACAATGAATAATACTGTTTGGGGGTAGGTAATACAGATTTATAAGTATATTAGATATATAAGGCCATCTTACTACTTACGAAGACTCACCCTACGAACAAATATACATGGACCAATTGAAAAAAAAACACGTATTAACTACTTTCTAGCCATATCCGGCTCGAAGGACCACGTTTAACCATTGCAAAAATGTTCGTAGTGCTAGTTTAATTATGCACTTATAATAAGCCTATACTCGTAATAGATATAACCTCTACCCGTAGCTCAGGAATGTATAAAAATATAATCGATGATCATCACAGACTACGTTTTGTCAACTTACATTTGATTTACCAGTTACCCTATAAACATACGCTTTACAATCTAATAAATAAAATCAAGGTGAAACAATATGAATTCTAGTATTTAGTATATAAAGTTTACAATGTCGAGTCTTTGTGCGAAGTTTTGGCATAAGCATTGGCTGTTAAACTACCTAGTTGTGACACAATTATAGCAATATAATCTATTGATTAGCATAAGGGAAACTTAAACTAATGTGTATTACGTCATAAAATGAAATGATCTTAAAAAATATCCAAATACAGAGTTTGCACAAAGCAATTCTCTTATGTAAATCTCATCTAAATTCAGATTATTATAATTTCAATAGGTTTTTGATTAATCACAGAAATATATCGCTAAGCTAAGGCTATCTGAAAATTCTTTAAAATCCATACCAATGAGTGACGCATTTATCTATAAAATACGTTTAGTTTAATTTATACTATTTATAAAAGTCGAGTTTTCATAATTGTTATATTTACAAAATTATTAAGTCCGAGTTTTTATAGTAAAAATAACATCATTGAATAATTTACAGTCTAATCGTCATGAAACATTTGAGCTTAGGTTTTCTGAATGAACATAATACCTTGCGGAATGTTGATTCAGACTTTTAGTTCAAAATTTTAAAATAAATTTATTTAGCTGCATAAAGTTTCATAGGTTCATATTTATAGTGCTGTAGGTACCATTAAATTACTAGTACAATGTTCCTGATACTCTAGAACTGTTTCAATACCGTTTAGGAACTACTGTGAATAGTGGGACTTCAAACTGAATACTTCCGTCACCTCCAGGCGCGCCGTGACGGCGATGTAGGTCCTGTGATCTCCGAGTGTCATCTGTTCGTCTGAATGCGGAACCAGCGAACACGTCCATTGCTATGAAAATCAATAAAATTAATAGTAAGTACATCAGACATAATTCTTTGCAACAATAGACAATAAAAAATAAAAGAAAATTAGTAAAAAGGGAACGATTTGAAAATGAATGACCTATTTTTGACGTCCTTATGTTAATTTGTAATATCTGGCAAAAGGATCTAATACCAGACACAATTAAAATGAAGTTTTAAAACTGAGCATGAAATTTTGTTAAAAATATGAGTGGGGATGGTGTCTAACAACAGGTGTTCTTTCCAACAAACTTTGTTTAGTATTAGGAATGTAACCAAATACTGTATAATAATAGAAAACGTAGGGCTACAATGAAAGCTTTGAACACTAGAAAACTTGATATTAGTCCAACTAGCTACTATGACTTATAGATACATAATACACTGAGATACATAGTGGTTAATAACGAATTACTAAATTATCTCAATACCAAGTTGCGTGAGACAATGTTTCGTCCTTGTCATGAGTTAAGCACTATGAATGTAAATAAATATTATGGTAATAGTGACGCTAATTTTTAGAAGAATAGAAAGACGTACATTTTGCTTGAACAAGAAGAAATATCTGCCATTCATCTATTAATCGGAAAAAAATACGTAAATTTTGACGATGACTACGACACAATAACAAGAGTTAAATAACTGAAATCATTCAAAACTTTATACGCAATGTAAAATATTGTAGTGTGGAAACATTGAAAAACTGGAAAGTGCGATAAAAACAGGAAATGTGATATAAAAAAAGGGTGTCTAAAAATACAAATACAGAAATAGATTTCGCCACACTTATAGCAGTTTTAACGAAGGTTTAGCTAACAATGCAGTCTTTGATTTGTAAAGTTTTAAAGTTATTTGAAATACCGTGTGATGTATGTGTGCCATAGTCTATGTTCTAAAGTTAACGGCAAGTTTTAATCTAGTACAAATTATCTCAGTACATATATTTCCGTAAAAAGTACTGACACTACAAAAACATTAGTCCAGTTTCTCTAGGTAGGGCGTGCGACAGTGAATACTGTATCGCTAGTAATTTAATTTGATACACAAATAGTAATTATTAGTAGAGATTTATTTAATTATAATACCAATTATGACTACTGTGCCATATGTTTGTTGTGTCTTGGGTATTCGGAAATCTACATATTGACACCGAACGCGAGTAAATTTCGGAGCTTTTATCAACAGTAGTATGTGACTGCACGGAATTTTGATATTCGTACCGCCAGTTTAATATCTAGATTTTCAGACTAAGTCCAACCTGTTTCAGGTAAATTATAAGTTGACTACAAACATGTTGGACTCGGTGGGGATTGAATCCACGATTCGTTGATTATTAGCTACCATTACACGACGTGACGTTAGCTACATTACCAACGAGCCCGTCATATATATGAACATGAATCCATTATATTGAGTACCTTATCTTTACTTAATCTATAGCGTGTAAAGACGGCTTTCGTTAACTATTGAACACAGACTAAACACAAAAGCATTGAACTTTACTGCACTGGAAATAGAGTCGTTTTTATAAAGATCTAGGGGGTTTACACAAAATCAGCTAAGCACATGTTAGTAATGAACAAGTGGTGAAGCGGCGACGGCGTGCGCAAGCTAACTGCTTATTACTTACCGGACGATGGAATTTCAATCGATGCCAATACTTTGAGCGCATTGTATAGTGTACTTGACACGAGTATATAAATGTTTTAGTATATAACTTAAAATTTTCCTATTACTAACCTGGTACTAATCACAAAGTTAGTGTAAAACTAAGACAATAATTTTGAATTGCTAGTGTGTAAATGGGATTTACTTTTTTGTGTATATGTGTGTGTGTGTGTCGCTCACGGCTCGAGGAGAACTCTCCAGGCGCGCACTTCGCCGCCGCTGCAACACACTCAAATATTAATGTAAATCTGTATCTGTGGACTGGTCATTATAAATCTGTTAAAAAGTGTTTTGTATTTTAGGTAGATAAGGAGATTTTATTACATTACATATGTTGAAAATTAGTATGTCCAATAGACTGCACATAGACCTTCCAAAACAATGATATTGTAAAAGTTACATGATTATAAAACACTAGCAGAATACTGATAACAAAAAGGAACAGTTGCAAATCTTTATCTTGAAGATCTTCCAGAAAAGGATAATAGTAATTGTGATTTTGAACTGCTATCAAAATCATAAAAAAAGAGCCGTTATTTTATTCCATTTTGTTTTGATCGCCATGATACCTACTATAATATGATAACCATACTAGGTGTTTATTGCTACCTTCCAGCTGTATAAAGTGATCCGGTGGCTGCGCAGGCGGCCAGTGCGTGAGGCTGATCCGGCAGAGAGGCGGGAGGTGCCGCAGGGCGTAGCGCTGGGCTCCAGAGACGTAGTGCTTGATCGCGACCGCAACTAGCGATCCAACCGCCTGCGTTCTGTACACCACCCACTCCACAAACACCTGTCACCCAGCCTTTGTGGGCGTTCATTACACCCTATAAAATTGAAAAATAATGACATTAGTATTTTAAAAATCTAGTCTCAATGATTTATAATGCAATGTAGCTTACATATACGTACATGTGCCAGTGTATTGTCTGAAAGCCTCCAACATTTAAGGCTCGAGTCTCTAGAAGCGCTGTACAGGAGCTGCCCCCCTGCTGAACTGTTTCGCAACACTAACGCCTGCACGCCATCGTAATGTGGCGGCTCAAGAAGACGGCGGTTACCTGCCTCCCAAACACCTGGAAATGAGTATTATATTAAAATAAGGCATAGATAAATAGAATAATAAGACAACTTAACATACCGGTCAACATAATAGTAGTTAGTTATTTATAAGCTATAAGAATATGTACATTAGTGATTTTATAAGAAGGTATTATTAGAAAACATTTAATTATTAAAGTAAAAATCAATAGTTTCAGTAAGTTCTTTATACTTACACAAAGTAAGTAATTATCACGGTTAAAAAATCACTTACTATTAACGTGTGTCCAGTCGAAGACGCGAACACAATGGTCCCTCGAGCCGGTCGCAAGTCTGTCACCGTTGGGTAAAGACACGCGGGCCATACACATCACGGCCGCTGTATGTCCCGACCACGTCTTATATACGCATTCTAACCTATAAATCATATTTACTTTGATGTTTTTCTTTTACATGTATTTTGAAGACAAATTTTACAAGTTGTTATTTCATGATTTTATATTAAAATTTATTTAAAACGGGAAATATATAAGTTAACTTGCATGCAATTTACTATACCTACGGCCTAACGTTTCGAAAGCTTTGCAGCAGCCGTGGTCACGGCTTTTAGGAAATAAATAAGTTAACTAGTATATTTTATCGTATAAAATAGTCCAAAGTGGTATGTATGGATTTATATATGTTAAACAGAGAGACTTACATTCTCAAATCCCATAGTCGTAGTTTATCTGCAGCAGCGGTGTAGAGTGTGTGGGGATCTGCTAATGCAATTGCTGTCACAGTACATTCTAATCCACGAACGGCTGCGTTTGGACCTGTTGCCCCAGATGACCTGAAATAAAATAAATTTAAAACAACAATACAATTTTTAACAAGTAATTATAATTAGAGTGCTAAGTACGGCTAGCATGCATATTGTTTACTTCATATTTTATTAGAACACGTTGAGTATCCTTTTAAATATTAGTTGAATCGTTTTCTTAAGGAAAATAATAATTCATATATTTTACACGGAATATTATTTCTGGTACTTACCACAAAGTAGCAACAGGTGCATTACTCCTGGTGTCGAAAAGTCGGACGGCAGAGCTAGCGGCTGCTATAACAACCCTCGAGTCATGCCCAGTCACCCCCTGGCCGGCAGTTAGTGCATTAACTCCGCCCCCGCACCAAGCACGCCATCCTTCACGACCGGCATTTAGATCCCAACCACGAACCGTACGATCTGTATCAAATATATACATATAAATGATTACACATTCAATCTCACTTTATGTTTGCTTTAAGATGATTCTCTAACGTCCTTACAGTCATTCAAAACTATCATATTACGTATATACCTATAATTACTTACCAACGCCGCCGCTGTACAAAGCATTAGGTACGGCCGCCAAAGCAGATACGGCTCCTACGTGACCCTCCGCTACGTGGGTGCACTGAAGCCAGGTACCACCGCCAGCTGCACCCGTAATAACTCGCTGCTAGAGAAATGAATTCATATCTCACCGGCTCAAAGGACCATTTTTGTTATATTTGCAGCTTAAGGCAAACTATCATTCAATATTATTTTAAACTGTTGGGTAATAGTATGTTGCTTATTAAAGTACAATAAGGATAACATCGTGAAAGGTGCATTTATATAATAAATAAATAATTTAATTATTAGAGTTGGGAAAAAGTTTTTATGAGCTTTGTATATAAAAGCTCATAAAACTTTTTCCCAAGCAATCAATAATAAAAATTACCTTTAACGAAACTATTTTAACAATTCCGCTGGGAGCCTGTTCCGACCCGACACCAGTCAACCTCTGGAATACGTCTTCGTCTCTCGCCCGTCGAGCAGCTCCAGGAGATGCAGGTGGGGTACCTTCAGTGGCCATTCCACTCGAGTCTCTATATCCGCTACATGTTAGCATTGTGATAATTCTTCAACCGAGTATGAGCTTTAATGTGTTTGCATATGAACTTGAATGCCGTAAAAGCAACAGAGAAACACCTTTATTTTAAACAAAACCTTTTAACGTCATGTCATCAACGTCAAAAATTCGCGGATGTTGCTAATACGGCAAAAACATAGTTAGTATATGAAAGAAGTGTCATTTTAGTTTCATTAAATCTCATAAGCGGTGATTTTTAAACAATTTATGAAAAATAAACGAAGGCAACTGCAAAAGCAGTAACATGTTTTTTTTTAAATTTAGACTTTAAGATCCAATGAACCTCATAGACTATCTTAAAAGCGTATTTAGAATTAAGTTTATTGAATTCTTTTAGGAGCCGCAAGTAAAGCAAAAAACGAAGTACATAGGATATGCTATATCGTAGAAACGTTTAATGTTAGTTTTATATGGCAGCATTAGGAACGTGACATGTAAGATGGTATGATTCTTTCTACTTACTTTGCCTAACAGTGGTATTTATAATGTATTGGTTGTATAACGAGTAAGAGTTTTTCAAATCATGTAATCTTACACTTATTGAGCTTAATTCTAATCATAGCTGCTTCATAATTAGAGAAGGATTTCCCATTTATCATGCGTCATGCAGCAAAGCAAACAACATAAATTTTAAAAATTGTATTTATTTGACATACATATACCTTTAAACTACTTTTGCACCTTCAGTTAAGTTTATTACTTTCATAGTGTAAAAATGCAATTAAATACAATACCTATGATTTGTTTAACTTATGTGTTAATTATTTTACAATATACAAAGTATACTACTGCGATTATATATTTTTAAAAAAAATTTGTAACTATTTGTATTTTCCATTATATTTAAATTTTAGCACCTACATAAGCTACAACTCAAGCTTCAACGCAATCAGTTTTTTAATTATTCGAACAACTCTAGACAGGTAAATAAAAAGTTTGAACGCCGAAAAGCCTACTGCACAGGATAATAGCCCTATTTCGTATAGGATTATGGTGTATAATTGTGTGTGTGCTGTGGGTGTCCCCTCCTCATCAGTCTTCCACTATGGAGAGGTCGGTGAGAAGGCTGTAAGTACCCATTAGTGTGAACACACATACACCCACTCGTCGCCCCGCCTACTAAGCTGTTGTGTGTACAAGACCTTAATTTAGCAAGATTCTGAATTAATAGTATCATGCTAGCATGCGGCTAGCTATTTACGTAAAAGGAATAGACTGGACCGATTAAAATATTATTATGTACTTAAAAAAGTGATACTCCGTTTACCCCGTGGAGGAATAAGCAACCCCACAGGCAGTTCCCGTCCGTTTCACTGATTTTGCAGGCAGTTGATCAGGCTTCTGTGCTCTGCCAGACCGAAACAATTTACTGTTCCCCCGGGATTCGAACCCAGAACGTCTCGCGCTATACGCAATGCGACGCACGTTTATGCATTGGGCTATAAAAGGAGGAGGGGGGATTTCAATTTAAAATCATTTTTAATAATGCTGCTTAAGCGGGGAAGTAACATGATAATGTTATTCTATAGCAGCAGTATTATTTCCCTTTAATTAATACTAATGTTTACAAAATTAATTGAGCCTATTTAACGTCTCGTACACACTCATTGCTATGTCGGTAGCCAAGTCTACATTAATATTAAAAGAAAATTATCTGTGTGAGTTTTTCTGCACGATACACTGTTGTTTTGTGTTAGTTTGGATAAGTGGGTTAGAAGATGCAAAAAGCAGTGTAATCGTGGAATGAATTTTTTTCTAAGAAATATTTTGTTTATTAGCAAAAATATATTTCTACCTTATCTAGAATTAGAATTATGACTTTTTATATACGTAGATGTAAATTTAAAAGTTGACATGACAACGATGACTTAAAATGAAACAGTAAAATGTTTATTATTAATTGAGCAACATTGGCGTAAATATTTTTTTAAGCATTAAAATGTAGTTTACTTGTTATACGATCATATTTGAATATTGAGACAAAATGATGAATACTGTTTATCTCAGATGATATCTCACACAGACAATTTTCTTATAACTCAGACAAACGATAGCACATAGACCCAAGCTAAATCATGCAGGCGAGGGGGCAAAAGGGATAGTACTAAAACTGAAACATGCTTAACCTTAACTACTCAAACGTATTCACCGAAACGAATTAATAGAGCGTTGTCTCTTTCCTACAAACGTACGAAATCAAGGACTAAAGATTCTTGGATTAATGAGAAATTGTATGAGTTCGTTCATTAGAAGAAACGTCAACATCACGTGATGACGACATCTACTCGATATATGGCAACACGTTAAGAAATGTTTCTCAGTGTTGCCATATGTCGGCTTCAAAATCCAAGAAGCTTTGCAAAATGGACGCGAAAACCTTCAACAATTTGTAAAGAATTAGTAAGTGGTAATTGCTATTTATTTTTTCCTATTAAGTGGTTCCGGCGAGTACGATCTCTTACAGCATAGGCAAACAAATATTTAATTATCTATCACAAAATGTACTTACAAAGAGGCTGGTTTTGCTAAGGATTGTTGTCTTCTTATTGGTCGCGGACTCTCGGGCGGTGCGCGGCGATTGGATATTGGTGACGACATCGAGTTAATTGGTTGTAAACCTCTGGAATTAAGCACAAAAATGCCTATGTAGCTAAAAAAATGGATACGTAAATAGAAAAAAATCGATTCTTCGAAAAAAAATATTACGACATGGGCGAGACTTGCATCTATGAAATGACAGTCACATCGTTCCGTAATGTTGCTCTAATCAATTGAACTACCGTGTCGTACAATATTTCCAATCTAAATATCAATTTTCGATTTATATAATGCCATCATAACATGTGAAAAATATTATAGTACTAGTAATATTTTTCTCAGCTCTATATGTAAATGTATGATGACTCAATACCAATTCTCCCAATAAAACTAATTAAAAGTATCAGAAAAATCTACTAATAACTTTCCTATTTAAATAAGGAATTAATCCGGGCGACTATTACTACTGTTTACTCATAAATAAGGTAAAGTGCACACAAGCTTTAAATTATATGCCTATATGAAAAATAGAGAAAAAAATACCTAAGACTGCCTGGAGCACTCGGAACTCGGCTCAACGGTATAGGCTTGGGCGACGTCGGCTCCACCAGTGATTGGGTCATAGGATCGACATTTTCATCGCGACTGTACACCCCAAGATCACGTAGCCGTACTGACCCGCGACGAACACTGCAACAGGTAAATTAACTTATGTGATTTTTATGTAATTGCGACTCAGAAATTGTGTCATGGCCTGGGAGGGGGATCATTTTAAACAAGGTGAGTATTAAATTGATGTATTTATTGGCAAGAGATATTTGTGTCGAATTTAATACATACGTATTTCTTTGGAATGGTGAATTATCGTCGGGAGGCGAAGCGGGCGCCGTATTCGTTTCTCTTACGCCAAGGACAGGCGGACGTGTTTCCAATAAAGCACTATAACAAAACCAAAGTTACAGTAGATAGATAGGCTGTTTGTGTCTCTTGTAATAAAATACTTTCCTAGGAAAATAAAATAGAAGTTAATTTTTGCATTTGTTTTCGACGATACTTTTAACTTAATAGATATCTGATTTAATTAGCATTTTATTCGGAAACTTTTTGCAAAAGTGCTATGAAAAATGTAAAAACAGATTTTATATAAACGTACCTATCAACAGGCGACACAGATCTAGTGGAAGTGCCGGATGACACGTGCGCTAACAGAGCAGCAAAAGCAGTCGAATTGTTCCATGGATTCAGGTTGTTCTCATCAGCAGCACGCAGTGCGCTGGCCGTCTGTTCGCACTTTTCTTCCAACTAAAAGTCACCACAATTATAAAAATATATACCTAAAGACAATTTTAGGAATTTTATATTAAATAATTTAACTAGTCATCGACCAATTACTATCCCAATAATAGGTATAAAAACAAAGAAATACTTAAGTCTTATTTTATTTCTATGAAGACGTGTTGTCAGAAATCGTAATGCTCACGCAATACGCAGTAAGTAGTTCGATACAGGGGTAGTAAGTAACCTATAACGCGGTTGTGACTACTATTGAATAGGACTATTTGACATTTTCGCATTTCCGTAATAGACTCTACACGACCAATCTGCTTAATTTGGTGATGTAATAGGTGGTAGCACTGCATAAATATCTTGTATCATAGTAAAATAATACTATAATAAATGTAATATAACTAATTTTTAAGTACTAATTGACTTACCTCAGATAATCTCGCTCGCATATCGACTAGTGTCTTTCCGTTTCTAGCAGACTCCTGCGCATGCTGCAGTGCTACAGCCGCTAGCCGTTCTAGAGCGTATCTGCCCGTTTCACAGTCTATTTGTTCCAATACACGAGGTAACTCATTCTCTTCATTTTCCTCCTACAAGAAATGGGATTTAGGAATATTATAAAGAAGTTTCCATCCTGTCAGCACTTGGTAAATTATACAATCTTTGGTAGGGGATTTTTATAGTCAATATCATTTTGATACCTTTACTACTGTTGTAAACATATGACATATATTTTTAAATAGTCGTTACTGATATGTTTAGCGCACAAAGCGAGTACATTTTCATATGCAATGCTATTTTCATAATAAAGTACTTAAGTTTCACTGCGGTTTGCTATACAATGAAATTCTCCCAAGTAAATTACTAGAAATCGTCTTAGTTTTTTTGGGCTGAAAAAACCACGGTTAGTCTCTAACAATGTTACCTCAATTTGTATAATCTGCGACTGCGTTTCGGCAATAGCACTCCTAAGATACGTCAGCAGCGCTCTTGAGTCAGGGTCGTTAGCTTGAGAAGCTGCTACACTGTCCCGTTGTTTAAGCTGGTGTTCGAGCGTAACTTCGAGTTCAGCGAGCGTAGTACGAGCTGCGCACGCGCGCGACAACCAGCATTCCAGACGGGACCAGATTTCGCGGCCGGACGTACGAGATTTAGCACGATTACGATCTGTTAAATCAACAGATCAATTGTAAGTTTTAAGACAGCGCAACTAGAATAATCTTGGTTACTTAAGAGAGGTTTATTACTTAGATAACATTATTTTAAATTTTGTTTTTTTAAACGACTTTTCACTGTTAGTTTACAATAGTATAGTAAAAAGAAAGTAAAACCCTCATATTTCTGGTAATATGTATATAGTATTAATATACCCTGCAGTCGGCCGGCAGCCCTACTGCTCAATTTATCTCTGTGCCCACGTCGTAATAATGATACTTCTTCTTGTTTCCGTTTTAAAACCTGAAAATTTAAAATAAGTACTGCGTTACGTACTAAAACGTTATTTTGTGTAAATCAGCTTTCAGCTATTACTGTAATGGTTTTTTCTATATCTCACTGAAACTAGCACGTACTATAATTTACTTATAGTACGTGCATTTGTTCCATTCAATATTGTTAAACAAAATAACTAAAGTCGCACCTGTTCTTTGAGTTTCGTCTCCGCTTCTAAAGATCGTATTAAGTTGGCGTTCTTCCGTGATTCTTTGCGTAATTGTGCTACCTGAAAAACATAAAAAATATAATAATTATTTCCTTATGTCTTCCTTAACATAGTAAAAATACATGCTTTTAGAACTCACTTCTTTGGCTCGTGCTGCTTCTGCTTGGGCATGTCTTTTTGATTCCAATCTCATTCTTTGTACAAGTTTAACCTAGACATATAAAAGTAATTTAAAACGATGTAATATAATTAAACTTAAAAATATAAAACACTGTATTAATACGTATATGGATTTGGACTTGGATAAAATAGCAAAACAGTGAAATTTCCTAATTTGTAAACGATATTATTCTATTATTATTCAGTAAGTTCCGTGGTATACAAAAATTATTGAGTTATTTACTCCGTATGATGGGTTACCTTATCACGCTTCATGTTTTGTAATTCATTGTTTAAAGAATGTATCTGCTGTGCTGTATGCTGCTGTGACCGCTGCAAACGAGCATGTTCCCGCTGCGCTGTCTGCAGTCTCCGCAATTCCCGAGACATATGAGTTACGCGGCGTTCATATTCCTCCTTCACTCTTTTTAACTTTTCACTTGGCTGCGACGATTGGGACGCTAAAAGAAAGGAATTGTTATTGAAATAATAGGTCCTTCGAGCCGGATAACAAACGTCTGAATAGCATAATAGTAGCAGTAAAGTTACTGTTTTTTGATACTGGTAAAAAAATATATATCTTCTTACCAAGAGATGCCAGTACTTTATCTCTCTCCTCGCCCGTAGCCTTGATCTGTTGATGCAAATGGTCTAATCTCTGTTCATAATGCGTCCTGAGCGCGGCTAGTCGTCGTTGTGAAGCCTCCAATTGTTCTACCAATCGAGCCTTTGTATCTATATCTTCGCTCAAAGCAGCCAATTGGGCGGTCAGTAGCTGTTGACCTGCAATAAAACCCTTGATTAGGCTATTTGGTTTATTAATAATTTGGCTTATTTTTTCTTAAATTTTTAAACTCAACTTTGTGCAAGTCTCGTTATACATTGTGATAGTAAAAAAAATAAATAAATAAAAAGTACATATCATTATACTTTGGTAGAAAAACTAACCTTTCATTTCATTGTCCTCTTCAGAGTCGCTCTCATCGTCGTCAGAAGGGTCAGAATCGCCTGCACTCTCTCCCTCCGCGCGTTCTCTCTCACCATAAGGCTCAGTACTTTCATTTAATTTACGCTGGAATTCCAGTTCTCCCATACTACGGGCTAATATTTCCTTTTCCTGTAAAATGGTTGAAGCTTTTTATAATAACAATGAGTACGAAATAGTAGTACAACAAGTAAAATTATGAGCATTACAAATTAATTCCGAACAGTTTGAACAGAACTTTATGATTTTAATATATATTATTAATCCATGAGCGACATATTGAATGGGAATCATCAGTATATACCAATATAAGAATTTATTACAAACATTTTTGGTCTTTCACTCCGGGCGTTCTGTTGATTAAGTGTATCTTTAATTTTAAGTATCTCCTTTACCTTATAAAGCTCCCGCTTGGCGTCGTCAATAATGGTTGAAGTATCAAGCATTGTTGAATCATTTCTGGTTCTAGCCTCGCGACGTCGACTCGCTTCGTACAACGCATTCGCTTCCATTAACTGAGCCCGCAGATCTTCGATTTCCGAAACGTAACCCTGACAAACATTTTTAAACCTATGATGTTGAATCTTGGATTTTTATTTAAAAAAGACCTGTATGAGCTATGGTCTGTATATGTATTTGGAACAGAGTGTATAAGTTTAAAAATTGAAAAATAGTTTAATCCGTACAGCGAAAACACGTTAAGGTGTTAACCATAGGTTATCGATTATTTATTTTTTATGTAAGCTCTAATGTTATCTATCTATCTATATATGTAACAATTCTAAATATTTAAATAAGGATATTGTTACCTGTACAAGTGCAGTTAGAGAACAATCGGATGCATCAGGGCTGCCGTCTTTCGGTCCCCATGTACCTAAAGCCTTTTCAGCTAATAACTCGCTGTTTCGTGCTGACAGTTTCTCTATCGTGCCCTGCATGGCTTGAACTCTTCGCCGTAATGACTCTACTTCACTATTCAAAAGAGCATTCTCTTGTACAACGTCACTCCAACCCTCTTCGCCGTTTTCGGATATGACACGTTTGCCCTGAAAATAGGATTTACCAAGTGAGCAATTTTAGCTAAGAAGCTATCATTTGTGAAACATGAGATTGGTTTTATAAAAAATATAATTAAAACAAGAAAAAAAAAATGTCGGAGACGTGGAAAAATCTTGATATTATACTGACACAAAAATTCGACTCGGGTTTTGTGTATGTCTGTGAGATAACAGCAACGAAAATACGCTTTATTTTTTTTACAAAAGCGAGAAAAACATATTGTAAAAAACTAAACCCATAAGCCAGTTTATTAATACTTGAACTTTAAATGACACATAACAGTAATAAAGAAAGGTCCATACCTGTTTATACTCAGCGAGCTCTAATTGCAGCCTGGCGACTTCTTGTCGCAACTGATGGATAGTTCTGGAGGTCAGATCCTGGTTAACGACGCAACGATTCTTGATATTCCTCGCTCTGTTAGCATACTTCAGGGTATTTAGCGTCTCCATGAAATCGCGATCGCTAGGCGACACGCAAGCTATCATTACTGTGTTGCTGTTTCCTGGAAGGTTTTAGATAATTTAGAACGACTAGTGTTAAAGTCTTGAAAGGGCTAATTTTAAAATTTATGTTTATGATCCTTCTAGCCGGAACAATCTTACGATGAAGAGTCCACGAGATTTTTTATTTGATGATGATTTAAGCGATATTAAAAATTACACTTGTACATAAATAAATCTTTTTACCTCCAAGTGAATCCTGCAGTAGCCTCGTTAATTTCGAATCCCGATAAGGGACATGTAAGACTTTTCGCGATTTGTCCCCAAGAGCAGATATCACGTTACCTAACGCTAATAGTCCACAGTTTATGGATATCCCTTCGCGCGCTCGTTCCCCTGTCGCCCCTGAAAACATTTTTTAAATAAGAGACAGTATTATATATTTAAGGTTAACTTACTCGCTAACTGATTGGTTTATGACTAAAGCCTCAAGATTATCTTTATTCAAAGCACCTGTTCGTTTTAATCTTTCTGATCCCGCTAGATCCACAAAATGGAACTTGGCCGTCAAAGTCTCGTATTGTTCAGGAGCGTCGCCATCTGTTTCCATCTCTTTTACACCATCTTGATCTGCAGCTAGGCGTCTCTGTCTAAGAAGTAAGGTAAAGACGGCATGGGATCTTGATGAAGAAGAGTTCATATTGGTGGCAGCTGTTGTTCGAGCCAATGCACCCGCTCGGAGCGCCCCTAATGCCTCCTTTGAGCCTCTTACAGCGCGAATGGAAGCTCCGACTATTTTAACCCCACCTACACCATCCTCTGTTATTCTTAAATTACTCTGAAAAAGAAAGATAAAAATATCTAAACTATTACGACTACAGTTACATAGATCGAGGTCTAGTGAGATGGTACTATTAATAAGATCATGCTTATCTTATAAAGTCAAACATGCGATTGATGGTGGTCATTGAGGTAAATGATGCGGCTTGACGGACCAAATATAAGCGGCAAACAAAGGTGTACAATTAAGGGCCTGTTTTTGTTTAAATGTTACTAAAATATTCTTATATGTAAGTATTGTTAAATTTGAAAAGGGACTATGCCAAATGACTAAGACCCCTACTATTGAAGTCCAATAAAAGCAACACAATAGAAACAAAACAAACCTAACAAATCAATCGTATTCTATAAACAATTTAGAAGGTCATTATCGATTCCGTAATTGGATTTCCATTCAACGGCCGGCTGCGTCTAATTTATTCCTCTATTATCAAGTTATCAATAGGCCAATGAAAACATCTCACATATTGTTCTAAACAACAATCCATTTGAAATTAATTAGGACAGTCTTGGAAACAACGTTCGAGATAATTAGCTTAGCTTAGTACGGCGCGTGACTCAAGCTCAAATATCTCTCACGATACATATTGTTGTATGTAGCGAAAGTGTAAGTGCAGTACTCATACATAATAGATGTGATTTTGCATAGTGGGGTAATTGCTTTATCTTCATGACAATGCACAGTGAACTACATAGTAGTATGGAGAGTTTATAGTAGATATTTATGTCTTGTTTATATTTTTTTAAAACTCGTTTTTAGCTCTTTCTTATTTACTTTACTATAATATTTGTATGTTTGCCTTAAATAAATAGTTTTCATTTACTAATAATATATTTTGGAATATTATACTATTTTACCACAATTAAAATGTATGTTATGATATAAGACACTGAAGAAGTATATATGTATATATATATATATAGCAACTGCTAACAGGGCCCTTTCCGTTGGATCCACCTTTTGCTAACTAGACTAACCTTAGCATAAGGATCCTTAGCGGGGTCCAGCAAGTCCACTATATCCTCATTATAGAGCTCAATGAACTGCGCCTGAACAGAGAATTCCGGGGGTAGCTGACCCTGGGCGCGAGCGGCTTCTGCCCTTTCCTCTGCCCCGGAAAAGAGGTCGCGTATCGCTCGTGGTATGATCCCTCGCTTGTCCTCGTCGAGGTCGCCCTCCCCCTCCCAGCCGCTACCCATTGTGTACGTCTTTCCGGACCCAGTCTGTAATAAGGAAGCGGTAATTAAATGCCATGACGGTGTCAAAGGTAATTAACTGCAATCGAGTAGTTGAAATTCGACAAAATGCTAGTTTTTTTATTGAGTAAGTATTTTCCTGTTCTTGTATTGAGAAACAAATACTAGAGCGCGGATTTTTATTTAAGTGTTTTGAACTTTCATTGCGAATAATTCCTTAACTCAGTGCAATATTATGTTGGATTTAATTCCGAAGACGAATACGATTATTCTGTCCGTCTGTATATAGGAGATACACAACACTGTTATCGAATAATTTTGGTTTGTACAGTTATGTCCTTAACAAATGTACTAATGTTATGTTTGTACTTTATTGTCTTTGTACTTTAGCATTGTTATTTGTCATTTTTACAAGCAAGATGTCTTGATGTCGTGTAAATACAACACGTACAGTCGTGTACTAAACTGAAAAACTCGCCAGTACTCGGCTTCATAACGGAAAAGTAAATAAGATGGAGTAACAGTCATGTTGAACGAGGCCCATTATACCATTTCAGCCGGGCCGGTTTGACGCGTGCAATTTTAACGGCACACCGTATTGGCGACCCACTGTCTGAGTTACGAGTTGCTACGTGATCGTCATTAATACACAATAGATCAATTGCTTTTCTTGAGCGAAGCATAAATTGCTGCTACACGGTATATGTTGTGGTATATATGTAGTGTTAGTATGATAGTATATACTCATTATTGTCTGTTTACACGAATGGTACAATTAAAACAAAAAGGCTCTCCAGCATTTGAAATATCGTAGATAATTATGTGTTTTCAACAAAAACCGTTTATATTAGGCTTTATTTGGTATTTAACGATAACTTTAAAATAGAGACAATTTATTTTACTAATTTTTAGGATAATCTAAAGAGATATAATCTAATATTGATTCGTGATGCATCAAAATCTTAATGCACATCAAAAAACACGTAAGTAGACAGTTAATAATGTCTAAGTAAGATACCTGTTGTGTGTTTTAAAATACAACAGGACAATCATTGGATTTAATCAATAACAGATTATTTCAGTAACTAACATTTTCTAATAAAAAAATGAAATAAATAGTTCGCGAATTTCCACGTAGTACATTTGTAAGTAACATAGTAAAAGCAAACATTAGTTGATCAAACTTTTGAACCTTCTAAGACTATTTTTCCCCCAGAATGAGAACCTAGGACATCTCTTGTTTAACGCAATGCATTTAAGCAACGACGGAGGTAGTACAGCCGATGAATATGTGAAACTAAGTGGAATTATGCAAAGAGGTGTGAAAATTATTACATTATCCAACACCTTTACTCAGGCGATTACAAATTTTCTCACCGTATACAATAGAACAATTAGCCACCGCCTCTATCAGATGTAACAAGTCGTGAAAGTCCAGGGCCCTCGAGTTTCTTCGTTAACGCAAACGTCAGAACGTAAAGAATTTATTTTCTCTAAGAATATACACATACAGTAAAAAAAAAACAAAATTAGAAAACTTTAATATATTTCACGTGTTTTTCGTATTTTGTACATGATGAAAACACTACGACACGGACAGGACTTGAACCGGCATCAACTTGCTATTGACATGGTAGCTCAATTGCTTAGAGCAACAGCTCGGAACCCTGTGGATACCGGTTCAAGTCAAACATATGTATATAAATAAATGTCTTTAGACGTGATGTTGTATCACAGAAACAAATGAGCCGTATTTATTTCAAATTGGTAGCTTGAGCTATTAAAATATGGTAATCTATCTATACTAATATATAAAGCTGAAGAGTTTGTTTGTTTGAACGCGCTAATCTCAGGAACTACTGGTTCGAAATGAAAATTCCGTTTTGTATTGGTTTGAGCATTTCTCGAGGAAGGCTATAGGCTATAAAACATCGCCCAGCAACGAATACAAGCGCAGATACAGCGTAATGTAGACAAAACAGGGAAAACTACTCATCATTATGGGTTTCCGAGGCGTACGCTGCACATACGATTCATTCTTCACATCATCTTTAATACCCAAAAAAATATGTATGAAAGAATGATTTCTCGTTAAAAGATGTAAAAAAAGTCCGCGATGCTATATGTCTATATTTTAAGATTAACTTATAAAAGAAGAAGGGACGCGACCGACGTCGTGGGTCGTGGGCAAAGTTGATGCCCAAAATAACTATAGCTCACACACAGCTAGTAAATAAATAAGCTCCTTGATCGTTAAGTCATATATCGTCCTTTGCGGCATCTGGTAATCTGGCATGACCACTGCAGCAAAACATCCGAAACGGTCCGACTGCAAAGGTAACTATAGACAAAGCTTAAAACAATCGTACTTAAAAATTTTAACAAAAATTTTTACTAGTGCACTTTCGCGGAAGACATTTCGCTTCAGCGCCCATTCTGTCCCACGACATCGTCAAGTTAATTATTATTATTAAACATTTGCATAACAACTCTCTCTTATAAATGCTTCCGTTTTAGGTTTCATTAATTAATTAAGAACAAGTTCAATGAGACTAGCGCGGAAATAGAGATAAGAATATAGTGATTATTCAACATATTAAGAATACGTACAGATAAATAAGGTGTTACATATTATATAACTAGCTGTGTCTGCGACTTCTTCCGCGTAGAATAGTTATTTTGAGCATACAAATGTATTTTTGCAAACTTCTTTATCTTTATAGATCTAAACTGCCACAACGTCGATCGTGTACCGTCGTTTTTACTAATCTTAAAAGAGAGACGTATATGTCGCGGACATTTTTGAACATCATTTAAAGAGGAATCTTCCCTCCATATATATTTTTGAGTGTCTTGAACCGTTTTCGCAGCGTTCGCATCGGAAGCCCACGGAGAATAACAGGATGCCCCGTTTTTTTTCACATTTCCCGCTGTTTCTTCGCTCCTATTTTTCAATTTTATGTTATATAACTATATAGCTGTCGTGGTTCAGCTGTAATTAAATCTTTATGCGTCATGTGTCGGTTCTAGGTGCGGATCGAGAAAAACTTGATAATTTCGATGAGAGAAGGCAAACGTACCAAATCTTTAAGAACGAAAGTGAAACAGAGATAACTCAGAAGATACGAAACTTCACTTTTTAATTGCTATACTTTCTTAAAATATTGCTTCAGATAAGGATGATTTAGTCCATTGATTGTTCTGTATATTGTATGGGATGTAGATTACTGATAACACTTCGATGTTATCGAAGCGGTTTAGAAATTTCTCTTCATTTACACAATAATTTTTATTAGGTTAATCTCGCTTACTTTTTTAAAATTAACAATTTTTAGATTTAAATTTACGTTCTATAAGAAGTCATCGCGAATATCTATTGTAAAACTATATCTATACTAATGCTATAAAGCGGAAGAGTTTGTTGGTTCGAACGCGCTAATCTCGGGACCTAACTGTTCGAATTGGAAAATTATTTCTTTGTTGATTAGAGCATTTATCGAGGAAGGCTATTGACTAAAACATATCACGGTGCGACCAAGAAGAGCGAAGTAACAGTGGGAAATGTGGAAAATCATTCATTTTTATTTTTGTTGTGTGCGCTGGGAAAACGGTTCAAAATACCCAAAAAATATGTTTCAAAGGATGATTTTTCTTTAAAATATATGTCTATCATTTAAGAACAACACAGTAAGTAGTTAAGTAGGTAAATCAGATAAAACAGTAAATACATATTGACCACGGTCACCACTCTCTCTAATCTTATCACAACGTCTAACCGCTATCTAGAGATTAGTGCTGATAACAAGCTTTTACATACATAGGAAAATGATGTAATTTATTTAGGTAATCAAGGTTTACATAGACGCAAATCGCTTGCAAAAAGAATTATAAAACGACGTAATTTGTGCTTCCGAATGGCGCCTCAGGGTATTACAAAGATGACTCATGACTGTCAAGAAGAGGAATTAACGGTTTCAAACTTCGAATCTAAACATATTATGTAGTAGCAATAAATAAGGAAAATTAAATATTTGTTACATTTTCTTGGTCGTCTCATCGATTGTGTTAAAATTTTACTCTATAGTTAAATTATTGTTGTTGATAGAATAAAATATACGTATAAATACGTACTATTAACTAGCTCACTTCAATCCTTCACAGTTCCCGCTGTTTTATATAATCATCCTCGATAAAAGACTAAAATAACGATTCTTACTAATATAACGATATTGAATTTAGGTAGACTACCTGAACTACCAGTAAATTTGTCTCGACCTTATATTAATCGTGTTCTCTAATACAATATTGCGGAATACTAAGAGCAACATTAAGATAATATTAATTATTCAAACGGTTTTTGTTTACTTGAATCTTTCCTTTGACTCCCTGTGAAGAATCCTTACCGATTGTAAACAAATGATTTTCTTTGATATGAAATAAACAAACACTCAGAGATTAAATAAATAATCATACAAGGTGGCCCAAAACGAACAAGAGAGACAACAATTATTATTTTAATGACATTGTTTAATCCACGTGAATACTTTTAAATAGATTTTTTTATTTATACATTTAAAAGTTCAAATGTATAAATAAAAAAAATACTATAGTGTCATTATAATTTTGTAAGTTTATATTAGTTTTCATACGTAGTATTGGTGGTATAAACAAGTAAACCGGTTGTACAAGTGCTTACGGATTATTTATTTATAATAAGCAGTAGTTTGGTTTAATTCTTTAGGCGTTGCGTATAAAATTGTAATAACGTTTTGTCTATGAGATCAAAATGTTGAATTTAATAAGTATTTTTAGCTACTTATAAACACAGTCGCATAAAAACAGTTATCTCTGGCTACGCTCTTTATATGTATATGGACTACCACTTAAGGTATTAATTATCCTTTCCTTGTTACCATATTAAAAAAGTTATTCTTCGAAGTATTAACCTTCTTAAAGTTTAATACAAAAAAAGTGCACAACGATTAGGAAATTCGCTATACTCTTATCGCTTGTTATTAACACAACGT